AGATAATTATTTCACAACAGCAGTTATAGGTGTGTTCAATAATCCTTTAAAGTCAAAGGGCCTTATCAAAATACAGAAATGAAAAGACTGTGAAGAAAAGAATCCTGACAGATTCTGAAAGCCTCAACTCAGGCCAAAAAATTGTTTGGCTTTAAGAAAACAAAAATCCAAGCAAGTGAAGCTACCAAAAATCTTTATCAGTTTAAATGCAAGACAGAGATTACGAGGAGCTGTAGATCAGATACAGGAAGCTTGCTTCAATTCTCTCTCCTTTGCTTGCCCAGGAATGATTTTCTCTAACTGAAATATGAAAAGTGAATTGCCTACATTATCAAAATACAGAAAGGGCCACGGGAGAGGTAGAAAGTCCATTAGACCCCCAATGTAAAAGAGGAAACCAAACAGGGTAAGATTGTTTCATAAAACTAAATTAATTCTTTGCGTGAGCCGTCAGAGACAAAGATGAGAATGCCTGCCCTGGGATTACTGTGGAGAGACACTAAGAGTTGAATAAAGCTGAAAACCAAGAGGTAAAAAACACAACAGCAACAACAAACAAACAAACAAACAAACAAAACCCAATAAGCTTGTGAAATTAAAATGGCAGCACAAAAGGTGCTTCACCTTTCTTCAGATAAATTAAGTGCATGATGAAGACACCAGTTACTCCTGCAGGATGAAATCCTGCCCTTGTCCACTTCAGGTCCTCAATACCGTGTTTAAGGAGAGAAACTGACTCATGAAAAGTTCCAGGCTTCCAAATCCCACAAAAGCATGTCTGTACATAGAAGGGAAAAGCCCCAGATCTCTGCAGGGACAGACCGGTGTGCCTCAGCCCTGCTGCAGAGGCCAGCAGCCACAGCAAGAAAAGCCTGTTTTTTGTCCACAACCGTTTGACTCGGGACTCATCTGCAGGAATGCTAACTAGTGCCATCTGCAGCAACCATTTTTTCAGGAGAGGAGAAGTCAAGCATTAAGACAGAACAAACTCCAGCTGCATAGACTTCTGAAAAGCTGTCAGCTGCCAGTGTAGTTTACAATCACAACTAAGCCCTGGACACATTTCAAGTTAGTGACTGGCTACATGATCTATCCTAATCCTTTAAACCACCCAACCATTTAAGTGACCAGACTAAGTCTTGGTTCCAATAATGATCTATTAGGAAACTATTCAAGTCTTTAATCAAAAAAAGAAAACAAACAGAAAAAACAGACAATGTATAATTTTGTAAACACCTGAATTGTCTGCCCTATTTTAAGTTGCTTACTTTGTATTACTTTAAAATGTGTTGAAGCAACCTGCTGCAAAACAAGAAGGGAATAGAACTATATTCACATCTGTGTTCTCATGAAGTGCTCCAGGAGTGCACGTGAACCCATTTTTCTACCTGTATCTTGACATTTTTTCTGTGATAATGTGCTGATCATGGGATGCTAATGCAGGAAGCCAGCAGAAGATCTGCACAGGTAGCTGCAGTTTGCTGCTGATGGATTCAATGAGGACTGACACTGGTTTAAAACCACATCTCAGAAACATTCTCATTAATTCCTCCCTGCCATCAGAAAATGCAGATTTTGAGCTTGTTGACTTCAGTTAGCAGTACATAATCTGACAGCCCTGGACTCAAACTCTCTGCTGCCTCATTTGTAGGAGTGTTTTAATCCAACCTCATTCTTCTTGCTTCTTTTGAACCAGTTTCTTCACCTCTGCCTTATACTTTGTTCCTGTCCTGGTTAGCACTCATTCTACTACACAGTTGTTCACAATTCTTGCAGAAGGTTGAGTTGAGCGTTCAAGTGAAGGAAGAGTAAGCGTAGGGTTTGATCTGGTGCAAGTTGTTTCTGATGCAACAGGCAATGAAGAAAGAGCATCACCCCACAAATTGCGCCAAATTTAAATCTTTCATTCTTTATTATACACAGCAAGATCTACATTATGAACTCCTACATTCTTCCTCACATTCAAACGCACTGCCATGGCTGAAGGCAGAATAGATTCACTGATCCCAGAAGCAGTTACCTGCCTTGTGGCTGTGTTCTATTTTCTCATTATTCGCTGGTGGTGTATTGTTGGGCCAATAATCTGTTATTTATTCTCCCCCTCCAAATCACCAGTACTCACAGTACAGTTAAGTCATAATGATGCAATCACAGCAAGAGGGCACATGCATACAAAGCATGTATGTGAAGTAAAATCAAATCATTGCCTATACAGCTGTGCTAACATATTAGCAATTGCCATTCTGACTCTATCAAGCACACTACCCATTGACTTCTCCTCTTCACCACCAGAAGTTCCTTATTTCTTTGTCTCCTCTTACCAGCTATTTCTCACTAGTTGTCATGGTCTGCAATTGAAATAAAACAGTTGGATTTAGTGGGGTGAAAATAAAACATCAAAAAAGAATAACCTAAAAATAAGAGTCTAAAGTAACCGAAACCAAGACTACATTGCTTTCCAAGCAGGATATTGTTCACTTTGTATTTTTGCTTCGGAGAACCAGCACATACATTTTAGAGGGTAGATTTTAATTTATTTTTTTTTAAGATGCTCAAAAATACAGTCAAACCAAAGCCTATCACTTTGATGCATGAACTCATCAGAAGTGGTATCAGTGGCATGGCTTTTCCCCACTGAACAGAAATGCTCCACCTCTACTTTTACAGCAACCAGAGCTGTTCGTTTCCCCCTCGGCCTCCATCTTGGGCCACCTCTGTATGAAAACAGACAGTTTTCACAGCACACATTCACATCCAAAGACAATTTGCATTGTCTCTCCATATAAAAGAGTAATACCATCACCTCTCCTTTGGATCAGCACATAGGAGCGAAGAAAAAAATGCTTTTGTGACCTACAAAAGCCTTACTTGAAATAATTCTCTACGACTTGAGGCCTTTTGGAATGGAAGGGATATATTGTTTTGACTTGATTAAAGCTGAAAAGTTGATTTGACATCCTGTTGTCAAGGAAACCAATTCACACACAAAAGAAAACAGTTGTGATGGTATCATTCAGACTATTCAAGTGACCTTAGAAAGAAAAAAAGCCTTTAGTTCCAAAGATTTGTATTCAACTCACTTCACCACTGTAGAAATAAAGATCATTGCTCTTTATGCTTATTGGAAAGCAGTTTTCAATCTGGAAAAAGCGAAATGCCACATCTTCTTCTAACTGCCAGATGCAATACTTCGCTGGGGTTGTGCACATAAGCGCACCTACCATTTACTGCTATTTCAAAGAACCACAAATATAATCAAACAGATGTACAGAGAAGGAGAAAAAAATTCTTAAATTGACAGAACCACGATAAATACCCGCCTGACACATACCACACACCTATTGAACATCAGCTCAGTAAGTCAGGTTTCCAAATGTCTTCCTTCAACTACAAATCAATCTTACCTCAAACACAGCAATGTCTGAGCCCAACTTTGTTTTCCTGGGAAATATCAAAAGCAGCATTTATTCCCTGCCAGCATCCCAGGTCTCTCACAAATGAAGCTTTTCAAGCACACAATAAATGGTATGCAGTTACACTCAATCTGCCCACCTACTGGATCCCAAGGAGGGAGAGTTGTTCTTGCTGACCACTACCACCACCATCCAGCTTAGTAAGCAAAGCAGAGAAGCTTCATTCTCTGACAGCTATGGGTAGACTGGAAAAACAAAACTTTTTATCTATTTGCTCAAAGTCTGTAATTATATATTTCTTTCTCCCATGAGAAAGCCTCCTCTGCCTGGTCAAAAAACCAGACAACTAAATAGCAACTTGTCTCAAATTCAGCTTAGAAAAAATAGGTATGATATTAATAAGGAGGGAAATATGCTGAGGAAGGAATGTCACTGTTCCTACATTATTGTTATTTAACGTCATAACACCAAAGGTCATGGAGATAATAAGCTTCAGTCATTTTCCATTTGTTACACAACATACAAATTGCTACAGTGTTAATGAATATATTTCTCCACTCCTGGTCAGGCAAGACAATGTATAATTTTCTTTTAGACAAGTACCTAACCCTTGGAATTTGTTATTTCCACTACTTCTTTCAGGACTTTGTCCTTAGGGCTGAGCATAAATGCCACAAGAAAGCTGCAACTGGGGCTTTCTATGGCTGGTAGAGGTTGTTTGTTGTGGGGGATTATTTTTTTTTAAGTGGAAGACCATCCAAAGCATATTTATATTATTTACGAACAAATACACAAATACTTATATGGTATACTAATACTGTATCTTAAAAAACTTAGAGAACACTCAAAAAAAAAAAAAAAAAGATATCGTATATACTTTGTGGATATTATTTGATACCTAAATATTAAAATAATATTTATGCTAGAAGCACCAACTGACCACAGCAATAGAAGTTACTGTAAAGCAACAGTTAAAACCACGAAAACTGGAAAGCAGATCTTGGAAAAGAAATGATATTCACAGAAACATGGAAGTGCTGGGATGAAGAACCTTCTTCACTCCTAATAACCTGCTAAGGGAGCACAACTGAGCTTTAGAGAGGAATGCCTCATCTCTAGACTGTATTTCATTGTATTTTAAGATTAATATTTCTGCATAAATAATAAATAGCAACAGCTGAGCCAAATTCACACTATTTCATAGATTGGTTAGGTTCTGTTTGTGTTATTTTGTTTAAGAAATTAAGTTATTATTTCTGCTCTTCACCATAAATAGAAAGAATGTGCAGATGAAAAAGGAAAATTGCTGCAGGTAGCTTTGTATAGTTCTGGAAAAAAAAAAAAATAATAATAATTTATATGGGAAGAATGAAGTCCAACACCAAATACTGAAATAAAACAAGCCAATGCTACTTTTTGTGTGTGATCAAATAACATCCACATCTATCACCCAGACTGAAATATTGCACTCTGCATTTTAATGAGTAGCTTGTCGTGGTATATTCTCCTCTCCCTAGCAATAAACCCAAACCAAAGCAAACAGCAAGAACCACAAGAGCAGAAAGCTGATGGTACAGCTAAGCTTACCCACAAATAGGTCCATACTCCGTTATGAGTTTTGTGTGGTTTTCCCAAAAGCCCTGGGTAAAAGAAAAATATCACAGTATTTTAGAACAGTACTTAACAGAAATCCTATTACACAGTGCTGCTAACACTCACACCAAAGCTCTGAACCTCAACTGTAAGAGCCACGGTATTAACTCAATCTCATCTTGCTCCCTTGGCCCATTTCTGAACGAAGAGTCTAGAAAGGATGAGTGAAGGAAAAATATCTGGCAAGCCATTAAACATGTTTCCATTGGACTCCCACACTTCAAAATATTGGTTTTTTGTTTTTGTTTTTGTTTTTTTAACTAACTTCATGATCAAGGTCCTTACTCATTTTTTTCCAATATGCGCGTGGATGGAAAAAAAAATGATACTATTATTATTATAACATAGTATATGCCTTACTACACACTAAAGAAATATAGGTAACATTGAAAGATTGTCTCGGGCTTTTTGAGTTTTTGGGTGTTTTTTTGTTGTTTGTTTGGTGGGTTTTATTGTGGGGTTTTTTTAGTGATTTGGAATTTAGCAAAGGCAGTCCCCTGGGAGATTCCGTAGAATAGTAAGCAGATTTATTTTAACAAACTTTTGGAATTTACACCGTGCTTGATTTTCATAATTGATGAAAATTGGTATCCATTTATATAAATCTGTCTGCGGCTGAACTAAACTGTTAGTGCCCCAAATGAATTCAAATTGATTAATCTGAAAGAAGGTGTGTAAAATCTATTCCCAAAAGTGACTATAAAGAAATCTGTTTTTAACAAAACTGCAATATTTGAAAGTCATACTGCATTGTGTTTGTAACTTATCTATGGAAAAATAACACATTTGACTGCATTAATCTGCATTTATATTAATTCAAGATAGACTATTGTGATCTGTCTTCATTTTTCAAAGAAAACTCACTGGCAGAGTAGAATGCTTACATCTCATACTGAAGCTTTCTTGTTTTTAAGACATGCTGCAAAATATTAGCTAGAACAATATAAACTATTATAAATATATAAAATACAAACATAAATAAACAAGACCTCATAACATGCATGCACACTAAAAAGAAAACCTGTTAATCATAAGTAGCTACCTCATTTATCACCCCTGGGTGCTAACTTAGCAGCCAGATGAGTAAAGTACTTGTCACCACCTTCATTCCTCCTTATATAAAGCCACTCAATTCTTTCTTTTTAACACAAGTGTGCTTTTTTATTTGATTTCTTCTTGATGGTTTGGTTTTTATCCTGGAGTTTATATGTTTATATATTTAATGGGACAAAATGCTTCCCAAAGCCCACCCAGTCCCAACACCATGCCATGTGCAGGGCTGCCACTCATCAGCTCAGGCTGCCCAGGGCCCCATCCAACCCGGCCTTGAGACTCCAGAGATGGGGCACCACAACTTCTCAGGGCAGCCTGTGCCAATGCCTCACCAACCTCTGTTTAAAGAACTTTCACCTAATATCTAATCTAAATTTCCCCTCTTTTAGTTTGATGCCTTTCCTCCTTGTCCTATCACTATTAAACAGTGTGAAAAGTTGGTCTCCCTCTTGTTTGTAAGCACCCTTCAAGTACTGGAAGGCTGCAGTGAGGTCTCTCCAGAGCCTTCTCCAAGCTAAACAAGTCCAAATCCATCAGTCCTTCTTCATCCTTTGGCTAAGCTTTCCTATGGACTGCAAGAACACATGTACATATTGCCCACGTACCCACCAGCTGTGCTCTTTTGAGCCAGCATGAGTTCAACATTTACAAGAAACCTGTGCTTCAAATGATTCTGTGAAGAAGCCTTCCAGAAAGCCGGCTTCTTGGAAGCACTCTGACTTGCTGCCATAGTAGGGTCAGACAGAGCACTTCTCAAATCAGTCCTGTTAACCGATAACTGGTTTTCCACCTCGCAATCTCCTAAATGATTGTACTGGCTTAAAATTAACTAAAATTAACTCCCATCTCAAACTACAGACCTGAAGGACAGTAGGAGGGATGGAGTTGAAAAACAACCAAGATAATCAGGACAAAGCATTCTTGGGAGCAGAGGCAGCCCTTGTTTGCCACACCCCAGGATGCACCATCATCCAACTCTGCCTACAGTCCCAGCACTACCTGACCCCACCAGCCACACCAGTCCTGCTGCTGTCCTGGTGCCAGTCTGAGGCTCCATATGGTGTGGTGAGCATCCAGAAGAACACCAAGCTGCTGGTGAAACACCAGTACACTGCTTGCACCAAGCCTTGAGAGGTGGCAGTGACCAGAGCACAGGCAAGGGAAGGTATGTGTGAATCTCTATCTGCAGCCAGGAAAATAGTAAGGAGATACAGTTGAAAAGGAACAGGAAGAGAAAGCTGAAGAGACAAAAAGGTAGTAATGAAGAAAGCATTACTGCATTTGATAAAAGCTTCAGAAATGCTACAAAAGGAGTATTTCTTTATTTGCTTACCATTTGCAGTTATAAATCAACATCAACATCCCTATCCAAGTCCCTGAGAGATTTTCAGCTGACTTCCACAGGTATAACCTTTCAGCTGGATGGAAATGAGGGCAAAGTGAGATACTAACATTTGATAGCCATGGAAAAAAGCCAATGGACCATCTCAGGTGCACAGTCAGGAGATACGTCACATCCACATAGGCCTGTCAGATTTGCAGCATCATTCCTGAATGCAGCTTCTAACAGACAACTACCTTGAGGACTTCCTCTTCCTCCTATGAGTCATGTTTGAAAACACAGCAAGCCTCGTAAGTGCTACTGGCAACTTCATTTCTTTTTTACACTACCCAATGTCAATCTGCTCCAAAAGCCATTACTGCAAGTTTGTCAAGGTTTATAATTGCAACTGTTCTACAGAAATGGAGGCAGAGACTTCTACTCATCTCCCAAAGACCACCCTGTGGGTGAGCACAAAGATGAGGAAGCAAACTGAGAAACAGTGGTTTAAACAGCCATAAGTGAAGAGCTATAATGATGTAATTTTTTGGGGGGGAGAGGTTAGTAAATTAGAAATAGGGAAAGATGTATTTTAGCTTTCATATGTCTCTCTATTATATTTTTAAAGGAAAACAGAATGAAACTGAAAAGCAAACCAATGTGCTACGTTATGAGGTGAGACCATGCACATCAGGAGGAATTGTAACACATTAAGCAGTAACAATGAAGTGTAAAAACATAGTAAGTGATGCTGTTCCAGGACAGAAAAATCACTTGGCCTCCTCTTTGTCTGGAAGCTACAGAGTATGAATTGTAATCAAGAACAATTCGAAAAGGGTTGGAGCAGGAGGGGGTATGACATCCTGCATGTGGCCCCTACATCGAGGTACCAGCCTGATGACAGTCCATTATCAAACAAGATAATACAGGACTATGAAAAGCTTCTTTCTCTAAAGAAACCGTATTTTCCAGCATCTGGTACGCCATGGAAACAGCAGCTCAAGTGAGCTGACTGCTACAAACCCAGAAGGCTTCTTTGTTTACATGGCTGGCGGTTGCCTTCCTACAGGGAATTTGCATTCTCCCGTTCCTTTGAGCATGCATCATCAGCTGCATCTGCAGAGAGAACACTATCAAGGCCAAATCCTGCTCTCCAAGATACAGGTGTAACCCCTATGGAAAGGAACAGGATTTAGGTCTGCATCAGCCAAAGCAAAATCTGGCCATTACCAACCATCTATCTCGAGATATCAAATATTGAGAGCTCAGTCTGACAGCATGTAAATCAAAGGCCTTCAGAAAGGGGACTGGGCTCAAGTACTCTCTTCCCTTTTTTCAGTAGATTCTGCCACTCCAAGATGGATTCATCTACCATTTTCTCCTTACTGCACATTCACTTTGCTAGTTCCTGACAGTTTCAAAAATCTGCAGCACTGTCATCTTCCTCTGCTGAAAATGGGTGTAGGTACAAAGCCAAAGATTTAGAAGTATCTAGTAATATTAACTAACATGAGGCATATCTGACCTATTCTTATTAGTTGCTCAATAACTACATATCTCCTGAGCTGAAAATTTGGACTTAAGAGACTTTAAGCTTAATACTCAAGCTTAAGGTGACCCAAATTGCATGAAAGACACTTTGCAAAATTTCAACTTGCTGCAGCTGCAAAACAAGGATTATGAAATTAACCAGAGTTTTTAAGGGTTAATAGATTTTTTTTTATTTTTTTTTTTTTCCCCAAGAGGATCATTAAGTGCTCTGGGCAATAGCTTAAAATCTGGGCTCAGAAAAGTGACTTTCAGAATGCAGTATGGATATATATGTGATGTGCCTATCAAATCCATTACAGGTAGAAATTATTACCCATGCAAGAACAGCCAAGAGAAAAAGGCCTCTTTTGTTTCACCTTTCTGAAAATCATCACAGTGATGGTATTAGATCAAGAGATCCTCTAACCTCTGAATTAATAAGATATGACAAAAATAAATCAAGGGTTTTTTTGTTTGGTTGGTTTGGTTTGGTTTTTTTTTGCTTTGCAGTTCTGTGTGCGTCAACCCTGACATGAAAAAAGCATACCTGAAGCCGCGGGGCAAAGAAGTACTTGCACAAGTGAGCACCACTAGGCTTGATGATGCCATTGGCGGCATAAACTGTTGCCAGTACCTGTTCATAGGGATCTGGACTGGCCACACCAACTCACTTCACTTATGTTCCTATAAAGGTCACTAGCTAAGACAACCTGGATTCAAATGTGTGAGTCAAAAGCCGAAAGACGCCACATCCCATTAACAGCTCTGCATATGCTCCACCCTCCCCTTCATCACCCTGTAATCAGACGTGATTCTCTGTTTCATGGTGATATTAACTGAGACATCATTGTTTGAGCGCATACCTCATATAAAGAGACAAAAATCTATACAGCTGTCTACAGTACAGAACAGCAATGAGTGACAGCATTTATAGGTGAGAATTTTACTACTGAATGGGCTTCACTGCCTTTTTTCCTTAGACTGTTTGGAAATGCTAACAGCCCAGTACCCTAATCAACATATATATACCAAAACACAAGCTAGAATTTAATTAGAGCTAACTAGTATCTGACTACAATCAAC